TCCTCCTCTACATGAAGCAAGCCTCGATACGCGCTTCGCGGAAACGCCCCCTCCATTGCTCGACACACGCTCCGAAGCCTCGGCACTGAAGAGCACATTGGTACTCCCAGTGTGAGCTCTGCTTTCCCAACCACGCAAGAAAAACACATTGGTAAGTGACACATTGTACCTAAGAAATAACTGTAACATTAACAGTTAATATAAGCTGACTGTGGTTTGCATGCCATGGTTGCTGACATGAAAATGGCTAAAGCTAACAACATTGGGGGACGTTGGTAGGCTAGGCTAGATCTGAGCATTGAGCTAACTGTTCTAGATTGCTGAACGCCTGTTAATGCGAGGTTAAGCACTACCGAGCTTTACTTTGTTTAGCTTTAAACATGTTAGCCACTTAAACCCTCAACATTTAGATCAGTATTTGTGTCATTTGAATGCTACTTTCTGCACAGTACTGCGTTCTTTCTGTGTGTTTCTCAATGTTATGAGTTTAAAAAAATGTCAATTGAAACAAGCTCAGGCTTTCATGTGTAATCTCCTTTTAGTTTACTTTGTACCAGTGAGTCTGTACTGTAACAGAACTGTACCTTTTTCTCAATAAACTTTTTAATCAATCAATAAATCAATCAAGTGGTTCTCAACCTGTGAATTGGACCCCCAGGGGGTTCTCAAAAGAGCTTGGGAGATTTAAGTTAAATGTTAAACATTATTTCACCCGATTTAGTTATTTCTGCAGTTACAATTCAAAACATGGAAACATGACCCTCTTTTATTACTTCAGTCTAAATTAACGCCTATTATATATTTTTGTTTATTGTATTTGAATTGAAGTTCATTATGTTAGCATAAGAACTAAGTTAAATTTAAAAATGAATAAATGTAAATTTTCCTGATTCCAATTCAAAAATAGTAAAAGGAAAATAATTCAGGATTCAAATTAAAAAATGTCAAAAGAAATAGCTGATCTACAAGCTTAAAATGCGTCGACAGCCTATGCATTTGAGTGACTGAAAATATTCATATGGTTAATGTAGATCAAACAAAAATGACAAATATTTGGTGGCCCCCCTGTAGTAACTATGACGACCCCCTAGGGGTCCCAGACCACTTTATGAGCCATAAATCTACTCAAAGTTGATTTATATATCATACTGTATAACAGATACAGCTTTGTTAAATTATCTTAATTTGTTTATTTTACCCCCCAGAGTCATGTCTCAAATACAAACCCGAAGAGGGAAAAAAAAAGAAGGAAACAAGAAGAAGACTTTGCCAGTCCAAAACAACTTTGAGGAGATGGAGTCAGATATTGAAGGTAAGAATTTTATTCAATCATGGTTATACATAGAGTGGTCTCGTGTAGCACAAGGTTGTCTGAGTCCCTGCGACATACTAGCATCATGGCCAGGGGGTGGACTTGTAATGTACACAAAGCTGCCTCATGCTAAAGAAACAGGAAATAGGCTCCTGCCCTATGGGCCTCGTGGCTTGGCAAGGCTTAGTTACAAAGCTTTGTCTAATTGAAATAGAACAGCCTATGACTGTTAACACATTGAAACAAATACAATCCTAAGTATTTAATACATCTTTGCGCATCTTTTTCAGTTGGAGAGGTTCGAGGCGGTTCTTGTGGAACCATGGAAAAATTCAAGTTGGACTTGAACCAGCTAAAGGGAGAGAAACGGCTCCTCAAAGAGGAGATTCGTCTCCTTAAGGAAGAGAACAGACAACTAAAACAGGAGCAGGATCTCTGAAAGGAGAAGTCTTGTTCCTCTGAGGCCGGTTCAAAAGGTAACTAGACTGTTCCTCCCAAAACCTACATGTCAGGCTCAAACTACCATCTAAAGCAGGGGTTTTCAACTGATTTTGACCCAGGAACCACCATTCTGACTAGGAGCAACCTGGGGACCACCACTATTGTCAGGTGGGTCCATCATAGACCCATCCAACAATATATTGTCCGTTCTCAAAGCATCTTATTACCAGAAAAGAGCAGGGGCCTTATGTATCAATACTTGCGTGGAACTCATACCAGAAACGAGCGCACGCAAGGTCCGTCACGCTGAAAAAAATCTGTATGTATCAATGTGTGCGGGCGCCGAAATACACGTGTGTTTCCTAGATAAATCCCAATCAGCGTGGAATTGAGCACAGATGTCGAAGTGACTGGGCCAGCCCCCGTTACGCCCTCCTATAAATATGCAGATTTATTTAAATCGGGTCTCCCTGTCCTCGCACGCAGACAAAATGACAAGAAAAACTAAATTTACGGTGTGTGAGGTGGAGGTGCTGGTGGCGGAGGTGGAGGAGCGACAGCCTGTTTTGTTTGGCAGCCTGTCCAGTGGCGTCAGTGCAAAACGAAAACGCTTGGAGTGGGAGAAAGTTTGCGAGAGGATGAATGCGGTGGGTTCCGAGACACGCACCCCCGTGGAGATTAAAAAAAAGTGGTCGGACCTCAAGGTGGAGATCAAGCGGCGTACAGCTGCCCTCCGGAGGAGTACCAGCCAGACAGGTGGGGTTCCGGGGGAGGAGACCCTCACGCCGTTTGAGCAGCGGGTGGTGGCGATTATTATTATAGGGTAAGTGGCGTGTCACACAAATGTCCACATGCTTTGCCATGCCACTGAGCAAAAGACCTATATTAGACGTCTAGTCTGAGTTTATACTTCATTTCAACGTCGGGATTCAGTCTATTTTTAGACGTGATTTATACTTTGCCCTTAACTTCATTTTTGGATAACTTTTTATGCAATAAACAACTGTAATGTGCATAACTGACCTCTAAATACTGGATTACATTACCTATGATACCGTGGAGAGAGATGTAAACGCAACAGATACACAGAAGCAGGAATTGAAATGAACAAATATTTTTATTGTGTCACAGAAATCAATGTGTCGGCCGTGTCGCCGGCTTGCGGAACCCCAGCCCGCGGCAGCCCGTCCGCCGGCTCGGAGTCGTCGGCCAGGACCGGCGGCATTCGGGCCACTCCGGCCCCCGGCCCCAGCACCAGCATCAGCACCAGCGCGCCGACAAGCGGTGGAGCGTCCACCAGCCGCGGCGCTTCCGCTGGACCACCCGGACGCAGTGGAAGGGTCCTCACAGAGGCGGTCCTGCAATCGCAGGAAGAAATCATCAGGGGGATCGCGGGGATCAACGCGCGGCTGGACCGGCTCGTGTATGTCCTCGAGCGTCTGGTGGCGAAAATAAATTAATTTGGCTCATTGAACTGTGTATTCACTTCTTACCCATTCACACTGTGGCGATGAGATTCTCCCGCGCGAGAACGGCGGCCGGCAGTGATCAGCTCGCATCCCTCCGTCTGCTGCTGGTTCGTCATGTGGGGCGACGTGCTGCTCGGCCACGGGGATGTGGTGCAGCTTGTCACATAGTGAGTCACCAAACACCGCCACACAGCGTCGCCAAAGTGCCGTCAACGCAAGTATCCGCTCAACGCCAATTTCTACACCACCTCCTGACTTTGCGTTGATTAGCGCTGGAACCGACGCTCGTTTCGCGATGATAAATTTGGACGTGTGCGCCGATTTTGGCGTACGCAAGGTTTTCTTGCGCCGCAAGCGTTGATACATAAGGCCCCAGGTCTATCATTCTATCAAGTATTTTTTCCCCTCAAAACATTTTCATTCACATGCGAACAAGAAAAAAGAGTAGCAAATTGAACTAAAAGGAAAATTTAAAAAGGAAATGTAACTTTTCTTTTCAATGAATGCATGGCCAGGGACCACCTGCAATGCCTCTGCGGACCACCAGTGGTCCACGGACCACCAGTTGAAAACCCATGATCTAAAGCAATGGTTCCCAAACTGTTAAGCCTGTGACAAAAAAAGAAGTATTTTACGTTTGCCTGGGACACAAAAATAGTGAAAACAGCAGACCTACAAACTCACGTGTCGCTTCACGCCGTGTTGTGAGCTTGTATATAGGCCTTTTACTTTCTAATTTATGGAATTTCTTAGATTTTCTCATATTTATCCATGAAACAAAATTGCAATCACTGCATCCTTATTTTTATTTTTTCTGATCTTTGGTTCTCTCTTTATATATTTGCTGACTTTAAGGTCCACAGAAAAGGAGCCATGACCTTGGTGAGTCCTCCGACTCCTCTGAGCCTGAGTCCCCCTTTGAAACAAAGAAGGCTGCCAAGAAGAGAAGAAGGAAGCCAGCATCGTCATCATCATCAGATGAGGACTCCCCGAAGAAAAAGCCAAAGAAGGCTTCATTTGGAAAGCGAGGTATCTGGGAAAATAAAGATTTTCATATTGCTTCTGTAACAATGCACACACAAACAGTGCTTTTGCTTACATCAGTGGTTATCAAAGTGGATTTCAGGGACTCTGGGTTTACCTTAAGCGTTCTAAATCGACCCCTAAGAGTATGTAACTCTTGACACAAAACTGATGTACAGATGGAACCAAATGAACCCTAACCAGTCCATTTGTGCATTGTCATTGTTAAGGGGGGGACCTTGAATTTTTAAATTTTACATCACACTGCAACATGAAAATGCACTGATTTATTAAGTGACCCCAAAATTTGGTAAATGCACCCCTTTTTTATAGACTACATTGGGGAGCTTTCAGACTCCGTTCACCTTAGCAAAGCCTATGGAAGATATTTGTCTTAGTAGGAGCATCTCTGCTTATATTACTCTCCCTTCCACCCACACACAATCTCTTAATGGCAACATTTAGCATAGTCAGACTGGCCCTATTATGAAACTGATATGTAAAGACTAACAATTAAACCCTGAAGTGAAAAAGAATAGTTTAAGTACTGATCATCATGTATACTCGGATTGTGCAATATATTTGTAATTATGAGTGTTTCCCCCCCCCCCCCTTTTTTTTTTCTTTGATCTGTCTTGTAGTCAGTAGCCCAGAGGATGTGGTCCACCGTTATAAGAAGTTGGTGAGGATGTACAGGAGGACCAGGAGCATCCAAGAAATCTGTAGGGCCTTTGACTTGGACCGCAACACCATCGCAGGGACTGCGGTCATCGCAGATGTCCTCATTGCAGGAGAGGGTGGGGATTTTGGAGAGCTGCCCATAATTGCAGAAAACCAGAGTTTAGCTAGCTTTGCCAAAGTTTGCAAGGCATTTTTGGATGCAAACCCCACCCTAAAAGAGAAAGTGGATAAGATGAGGAAGGCCAATGAGCTGCTCACCATCACGTACAAATTACAGAAATGAGGGGGCCTGGTGAAGCAACAGCCATGTGATATCACATTATCATGTGTCTTCTGCAGACCAGTCTGGCACATGTGGGTGCTTGCGCTAGGTGGGTGTTTTCATAAACAGAAAAGTGAAGAATTACTTAAAGTAAAAGTACTAAAAGTACTAGGTAATTACCAATATAGTTACCTTGTAATTACATGGTAATTTTACAGTAACTACTCCTTATTACATGGCACTTACCTGGTAATGACCATGTAAATATATGGTAATCACAGTACCGTAAAAGGAAGCGTTACCTTAATTAGTACTTCTCCCTTTCTCATCCTAGTTCGTTCTTATTGTCCGTGCCTCCGACCTCCGACTGTTTGTCGATGGGGTTGTGCCATTGCCTGAAGGACGGATGTCGTTTGGCTTCATGTCCATGCCGGGGGCCTGTGCTGACCAACTGAGGATTGAGATGGTGCACGCTGATGTGCCTCGCAATCCTGACTTGGTCATCATCATGGCTCCTAACAACAACCTAACGAACCAAGGGTGTCTTGAGAAGTCGTCAGCAGATTTTGCTAAACTTCTCTCGACTGCCCTTGGGAGGTGGTTCAAGGTGGGGCTATGATTTCATTAACACATTTTGTAGTGTCTCAATTGGTAGTTATTCTCTATAATAACTTTTGTATTCCTTGTCCTTCTGGTGTGCTTGTGCTACTTTAATAGGTAATTGTGTATGATTTTCCACCTCGGCTTAACCACCCTTTGAACCGGTCCTGCGGCAGGAATTCCGTCGAGTTGCGGCACGTATGGGTAAGTTTTACAATACTTTAAATTCGCCTTCATGACAAAAATTCTAAATGACAATAATGTCATCATCAAACCAATCACATAAAACATTGTGGTATCTGGAGTACTGCATCACCATACAAGGGTTTGAGGCATTGCTCAGGAATAGCCTGAGCTGACCAATTGTGGAATGAGGGCTTGTGTCTTTTTGTGTCTCTTTTATGGTACCTGGGTTGGATATCCTGGAAGCTGCAGTTTTGCAGGTCACAGGTCACCGGACACAGGTCAAAGTTCTAGGCTAAATAAAAAATCAGATGGTAACAAAGATACCTTGGAAAATGTAGGAGGACCCACATCACTGACCCTATATAACAGGAGCCCAAAAACGCGGGCGGGAGAGCTGGACATCATTGGCAGTCCTCTCCCAGCAACTGCAGTGCTGTATTGATACTGGTTTTGTCTTTATAATAAACTCCTCTTATACAAGCAAGCCAGTGTCACGAAGCCTCCTTCTGCGTCTACACATCGAGGACAGCCCAGACACAACAAATTGGCGTCACGAACAGGATCAGCTACGGCCTCCAGAGGATCACAGCAGCTTCAGCGCATCTATTCCTGCACCACATTGGCGCCAGGTGAGTGTTTGACTCACATGAAGTGCTGCTGGTTTAGTTGTTGGAGCTGTTGTGTTCAGCTGTTTGGCTGTACTGTGTTAAAGTACTTGTGTGGAGATGCTGTGATGTGCTGTTGAAGAGAGGCTTCGTCTAAATTTGAGTAGAATAGAAAAGAAAAGAAGTTGTAGAGAAGATGTTAAAATAGACGAAAAAGAGATGCCAAAAATAGAATAGCAGAGACTAGTAATGGGAGTGTGCTAAATAACCTTGCAAGATTAACGAAGACAGGGCCCATACCTTCTTAACAGTAAGACAATGTGTAAATTAGTGACTAATGTGAACGTCTAGCTCAAAAAGGATAGTCGAATTCGGGGCGTGGAACGAAAAAAGTGAGGAGTAAAACCCGGAGCCCAGGGTAATTGGCAAATAAATAATAAAAAGAGATAAAGAGTAAAAGAGAAAAAGGCTGCGATGGCCGAAAAAGAGAAAAAGGCTGCGATGGCCGAAAAAGAGAAAAAGGCTGCGATGGCCTGGGCTGAGATAGCTGAAAAAGAGAAAAAGTTAACTTAAAGTTAGGGAGGTCGTGATTGGGCATAACAAACCGGTAAGGACAGTTTAAAGAAAAAATTAAGTTAACATAAAGTTAGGGAGGTCGTGATTGGGCATAACAAACCGGTAAGGACAGTTTAAAGAAAAAATTAAGTTAACATAAAGTTAGGGAGGTCGTGATTGGGCATAACAAACCGGTAAGGACAGTTTAAAGAAAAAATTAAGTTAACATAAAGTTAGGGAAGTCGTGATTGGGCATAACAAACCGGTAAGGACAGTTTAAAGAAAAAAAATTAAGTTAACATAAAGTTAGGGAAGTCGTGATTGGGCATAACAAACCGGTAAGGACAGTTTAAAGAAGAAAAAAAAGGCCTATATACTATAGTAAGGAAACATTGAGCTCAGTGAGAAGAGGTGTGCTGAAGTTTGAGTGTGTGAGAGAAGCTTCTGGTGTGTGTGTGAGAGGAGTGTGTGTATGGGTGCTGAGCTGCGAGTGTGAGTGCAAAAGAGTCTGTTTGCAGTGAGTGGTGTGTGCACAAAGTTGGGGAAGAGTCTGGCATAAATATAAGTGATTAATTTATGATAAAGTGATAAATGATAGCTTATTAAATATATAATGATATGATAGAAGAAATTAACATATAAGGGAAGAGATACTGTTGCCTTTGTAGTGTTAAAAAACATATGAGCCCTGTTTTTTTCTTTGTACAGGGACGTTAATAGAATAAGTAACTGCTATGAGCCTCTCAGGATAAAGAGGACGTTTGTACACCTAATAGTAAGAAAGGAGATCCTTATTAGATGAGGAGGACTTTGGATGGTGATAACATCCTTGACTAATATTGCAATTAAAGAAGTGTAAAAACCAGCAAGGACATTTTGTTCATACAGATACAGGAAAAAACAGAGTGAAAAGGAATGATTTGCTAACTGATGGGTGTGGTTTTTTCTCTGTGTGTGTGTGAATATTTAAAACTGATGGTCATTTGCTGATGATTATGTTTAGAAGGAAAATCCCAGTTAAAAATTGGAAAAATCTAGGGAGCTTTTCCTCCCTCTTTCTTTCTCTTCTTACAGGCCTGAGAACAGAAAGAAAGCTAAAAAATCTAGTTTAACTATCCTAGATATGTGAAAATTTAAATGGTATACCATGGTAAAGGGGAATGGTGTATAATAAATTTAGGTAGTTAGATAATAGAAGAAATCTTTAAATAGTGGTAGTAAATGTTTTAAATTGTATTGAATGAAGTGATTGTATTGTACTTAACATTTGATTTGTTCTTTGTCCCCAACTCTGATGCATGAGAGGGGAGAGGAGAATGAAAGGCATCTGACGCTGGAGCGCCCATAAAACAGATAAGAAGATAATTGGCTGTGCTGCAACAAGAGGGGGCTTGCGGATGAGAGGCTCACCAGGACCTGCTCCCATTTGACAGGCCAGTACAGTTTTATCTACAAACTCTTCTCCCAGGCATCTGCTGCTACTTAGTTGTACATACACACATTTATAGTGGGAACACATTTACTTGGGTGTATACATTTGGTAGTGCTAGACAATAAAAGCAGTAGTTTTGTTGGTAAAAAGGAAGGCTTGGCAATAGACTGACCAGTTGAAGGGGCTAATTAAGTACCGTAGTATTGTTGAATTAAAAGAGCATTTCCAAGAGGTCTAAATTTTGCTGAAGCTTGTGGATGTGATTGGTCATTACTGCTTGGTAAAATCACACAAATTGATCTTTTTTGGGTGTTGTTAAGTTTTAAGTCTCTGGGGCTGGCAGATTTCTTTGGCTTGTCTTGTTTTAAGGTAAATTAGTTAAACGGCGCTGTGAATAGCGTGTTTGGTCATCTGGTGGTGTTTTTGATTCCTATGAAAACATTTAAAGGCAGTAGCACAATGCCAAAGATGGACGTTAAAGGTGTGAAAGCTATCACTCCAGTTGATGTAGTGATAAAGAGTAATCCCCTTGTTAAGGATATCGAAAAAATGTCTAAGAAATGGAGTAAGAGGTGGCCTGACATTGACCAGCCTTGGCCATTGGAAGGTACCCTTAATCCAAAAGTGGTTAAAACAATGCACATGCTAGTGTCCACCTATAAGGCAGAGCAAAAGAAAGGAAAGAAGGGAAAGAAACGGCAGGAAAAGAGACAGAGGGAGCTTAACATTTTGCACTTGTTTGAGCAGGAGGGGCAGAAGATGCTAAAAGCCGATAAGGAGAGAAAGGACAGGATTGTAGACGAAATAAACAAAAATGTTAAATCAACAGAAAAATTGATGGCAGAAGAGAAGAAACCTTTTTCACACATGACCCCAGTGAAGAGCCCCCCACCGTATGAGAAAGAGATAAGGTACACGGATGTCTATCCTCAGCTCCCCGTAATTAAACAGGAGGGCGTGTATCACATCAAAGACGAGGAGGAGCAGATGATAGAGACAGGAACAGCTAAAACAAATATAAAAATGTACCCAAGCAGTAAGAGTAAAAAGAAAAGAGGTCATCCAGCAGCTAGGGGTGAACAAAAACATAGAAAAATAGAAATGGGAGATGATAGTCAGAGTGATTCAGAAGAGGCTATTGGAGGCTATGACCCAGCAGTTAGAAACATATTAGCCAGAGCAGAGAAAAGAAGAGGAAAATCACTGAGGAAAAAAGAGCCAGTAAAAGACACCTCAGAGGAGAGTGAAGATAATGATAGGGATGAAGAATCAGACAGTGAAGAGTCTTCATATTCCCTTTGGTCAACACAAAGGACTGAAGCTGAGGAGAGGCACAAGGCTTTGAGAAGGATTGAGAAACGCATCGATAAATGCTATAGCGACCTAAGTAGTGCTACCAGTCCTGTAAAACATAGAGAATTGAGGGAAGAATTAGAAGAGCTACAAATAATAAAAAATGACTTGAAGAAAAAAGGAGTTGAAAAGCCATCCACTTCAGGGTACTCCTTACGCCCAAGGGGATAAGCCAGCTGGGAAAATGTGTCCAGTTATTGTTCGGGGACAGAATTTGGAGTACAAGCCTCTGCAAAATACAGACATGTCAGACATTCTTGAAAAATTGCCTACTCTTCAGGAAGGAGCTCACCCTTGGATTTCCAAGTTAGAAGAAATTATGGTGGGATGGCAGCCTGCTATGGGAGACATCAAGAGACTCCTAGCTAGCATTTTAGGGGTCCCAGCTATGGAAGAGATCTTGCAGAGAGCAGGGCTTAACCGGTATGCAGGAACTGCAGTAAATGACCCAGAACTGTTTGCTGCGTGTAGAGCTCGGATGTGGAGATCACTGAGAGATGTATTTCCAACAAATGTACATCCAGATAACATTATTATTGAACCACTAGGACCACAAGAGAATCCAAGAGCTTATGTATCAAAGGCTCATCAAATTTGGAGAAATATTACAGGAAACGATCCAGATATGCACCAAATGGAGCAGTCTATTTTGCGAGCCAAAATACAAAAAGGGTTGCCCCAGCCAGTGATAAATAAATTAGAAGAGGTGGTTAGTCTTGGTAGCATGACAAAAGGGATATACACAGACCATATAGCACATCAAGTTGAGTTGTACAGGAAGAAAGAGAACAAGCAGAGAGAGCATGATCATGAGATCCTGAGACAACTTAACCAGATACATTTGGGAGATAGCAAAAACAAGGAGAAGAAACAAGCTTTGGTTATGCAGAGCCAATCTCAATCAGAGCAGGCAAAAATGCAACTGCAACAGGAACATATGCAGGACCGACCACCCCAGCTGACGCCAGTAGCTCCTTTAGGTTCATATGCACAACCAGCCTTCAGTCAGGGGCAGACATGGAGTGGAAGCGGTGAAGACAGAAACTTCAACCCAAACTTCCACGCATTTTCAGAAGCATGTTATAGGTGTGGACAACTAGGTCATTATGCACTTGACTGTTATTGAGTAGAAGAAAGCTCTATCAGAGGAATCATAAAAGGGCTGATGGTGACACCTCCAGACCTACTTGGATTAACGATTCAGGAGGCCAAAGTTAGCCAATGGTGCAAGGGGGGAAGTTACAAGAAACATCATAAAGGAATAGATTTTTGGGCACCACAAATTTTTGATTATGCCATAAGTAGATGTACAATCTAGCTAAAAAATAATGTTTGATGGGTTAACAGTTGAAGCTTGTCCAACTCAGTATGTTGCCAAGTTCTTGTGTAGGAAAGTCATAAGCAGATGGGGACTTTCAGAGTACATATTCAAAGATAATGGAGAAGAGTTTGTGGATAAAACAGTGAAATTGATTTGAAAAACTAAGAATTGAACAATGTTTGGGAGCTGTGTACCATCCGCAAAGCCAAGGTATCTGTGTAAAAATGAATGGGGTGATGAAAAACCCTCTGGGTAAAATTGACCAGCACACAGTTTTACATTTTGATGTCATAAAGGGGGAGTATTGATTAGGGGGAAATATGATAAACATGTCAAACAACAAAAATGTATGTTTTTGGCTGCTTGGATACTGCTTAATTTTTTCATTCTCAGGACAGCAGCTGGGAAGACCAGCTAAAGAAAGGTGGTTCTCCAGAGATCTAAACAGCCTTAATGGACCCACACCTCCCAACAAGACAACCAAACATGGACAATGTAAACACAACTGAAACCTGACAGAGGATTTGAACAAGGACATTGCATTGGATACATAAACGGAAGAAACACCCATGGACAAGAACACTACACAAGCAGCCAAGGATGTTAAGGAACAAAAATGATTATTCATTTTAATCATAGAGTTTGTCAATGTATAATCTGGGATTGAATGTCAATTTATCTCTCTGTGTTGTATTTTAATGGTCATGCAAATACCAAACAGCATAGGAAGAATGGAAAAGTATGAAAGGGGGGTTAGTGATTCATAGCCTAAGTAGTAAAGTGAATGTATTGGGATCTCAGGTGTTTTCTTTGTTTTCTCGATTTTAGGATCAGTGGTGTTAGGCAGGGATAGGTCCACTGGAGGGTTCGATGGGAAGACCAGCCTGACTTTGGATAACTTTTAAACTTTTATTTTTGAGATTCCCAAGAATATTTGCTTCACATTGTGGTTTTACATAAAGTCTAACCCCCACTTTTCAATTGGCTTGGAGTACAATAGGTGGTTGCCTAAGGCAGAGGGACCGTGAGTGACTCTTCCCTGTCTAGATTGTTTGATGGATAATAATGGAAAGATAGCTGCCTGACAGGTTTTCGCTCTCACACTCCAAAATAAAAAAAATAAAAAGTTTAGTAATAATTTGAAATTGTAGAAATGTCTTTCCTTTTTCGAGACTCTATGGAGTCTCGAAGGGGGGAAATATGTGGTATCTGGAGTACTGCATCACCATACAAGGGTTTGAGGCATTGCTCAGGAATAGC